CTCTCCATTGGGTGCTAGGAGCCTGGACCTGTAGAAGGAGCAGTGGGCCGCTTCCTACCACCCAGGTCCCGGCCTCCTGGCTAGCTTATACCCTGAAATAACAACTCACAAACTGTATTCATTTAAACACTGCTTGGCCCATTAGCTCTAACTCTCATATCTCGCTTTAACCCATATCTAATGATCTGTGTAGCACCACAAGATGGTGGCTTACCAGGAAGATTCTAGTGTACGTCCATCTTGGGCTGGAGCTTCATCGGATCTGTCCTGGAGAGGAGAGGAATAGCATCTGCCTCACTTTCCTTCTTCCCAGCATTCTGTTCTGTTTACTCCGCCTACCTAATTTTCTGTCCTATCAAAGGGCCAAGGCAGTCTCTTTGTTATCCAATGAAATCAACACAAAACAGAAGACTCTCCCATATCATGGACCACTCATGGTCTTGGGAGGAAGGAGAAATTGCATGAGCAGAAAGAGACCAGCACATCCCTCTTCCCTCCACATGATGACTGAGATCTTCTTGGCATCTATCAGCCTGAAATCTCACCAAGGATTGCCTTGAGGTCTAGTCCTCAGGCCTGGCCAGGGTCATAGTGTGGCCTGGCTGAGAGAGAGGCAGTCAGAAGAGGCTAGCTAGCTCTGGGGGTGTCTTAGCATACTGTCCCTGAGTCGTGTCTTGATTGCTGAAATAGATGTGCTCAAAGACAGAGTCCAAGCAAGGCAGTTGGCCTCTTTCCTCCCTTCCCCTATCCCAGGGCTGTGTCTTGGAGACATTATGTTCAACATAGGGGTTCTAGGAGGATTTAGTCCATTGGCCCCTGGTCATCAGTGTGCCTATCCCACAGCATAGCCAGCCAGCCTAAAAAGTAATGAAACTCCTAGTGCCCCAAACAGCTGTCTGCTTACCCTACCTCTGTAGCTAAAAGTCTGTCTTTAGTTGTAAAATGGGGGGTTGAGGCTATCCATGGCAAACTCCACACACTCAACTAACACCCCAGTTTTCATCCTTGCGGTGAGGGGCATAGCTCTCTCTCTCTTTTTAATTAATTTATTTATTATGTATATAATATTCTGTCTGTGTGTATGCCTGCAGGCCAGAAGAGGGCACCAGACCCTATTACAAATGGTTGTGAGCCACCATGTGGTTGCTGGGAATTGAACTCAGGACGTTTGGAAGAGCAGGCAATGCTCTTAACCTCTGAGCCATCTCTCCATCCCCATAACTCTCTCTTGCACTGGCCTTCAAGCCCCAGTGCCCATCTGCAAACTGAGGTCAATTGACATACCTAGCCAAGAGAGATAGCTTCACCTAGACCCTGCAAATGATACGTTCCTCTCTATATCCGGATGCTTTGTTGGGATAAAACCTCACAGAGTAGACCAACCCAAGTGTGACTCGAAGAGTCTTTCAAAGAGGCTTCAACAGTAACGCAGCTGAAGATTGGGACCCTTCCCAAGTGCACACATGCACAGTCAGACACATAGTAAAACAACACACACATGCATATTTGTATGCGCACAGACATGTGCCTAAACACACGTAACCTAGAGTCTGGGCTTTGCAGCCTGTGAGTCAGCATGGAAGGCCCAGCTCAAGAATCTGCTGTGTTTCCTCGGCTAAATTGCTTCATTTCTCTGAATTCAGCTCCCCTTCATGGTGCACTCACAGTAGGCCACGATGTGGTGTTGGTGTGAGCATTCAACACGGTGTTGTTTAAGCAAAAGCTTTGAGTACTGAGAAAGGAGGAATACTCTACAGTGTGCAGGCGGCTGAGATCTGGTGAGAGGAGGAGGGGAAAAGAGGTAGAAGGGAGAGGAGAAGGAGCAGAGAGGACACACCCCCAGGGCCAACTGACTGCCCACCAGTGAGGGGGTCCACCAGCAGAAGGACAGGCGAGGGGTGGCAGGTGGCAAAGGGAACAGCTTCACTCACAGCTCGTATGTGATTGGCCGGGCTGTGTGGGGCTTGTCTGCCGGCTCTTCAGCCCCCACACCAATTACCAGCACTTAGTCACAGGTTTCTGCCCGCACTTCCTCTCGGCAGCAGGAGAAAGAACAGCCTTGATGGGGCTAGTCCTTCCCACCCCCTCCATCCTGCCTAGCCTAGCACGGATAAGGAAGAGAATGGGCTGCAATCCAACAAGGCAGAGCCTGGTCCCCGGGCCCGGCGGGCTCTAGAGGAGGGGACAGACTGAGGCGGGAGCCATGTAGAACACAAAGGATGGAGCTTTGGCTGGCCGTTCCTTCAGATGAAGATACTGGTACCCCATAACAGACTGAACATCACACATCCAGCCTCCTACTTTGTATGTTATGTCAAAGGGCGTGACGGGTCAAGCTGAAGCATGGGGCTCTCAGAGCATAAGGAACATGGATGGGTCCTCTCCATCAGTTCTGTAAGTCAGTAGTCTTGCCTGACCAGCTGTGTGGCTCTGCCTCAGGTCTTTCCTCTGCCAGCAATAACATCAGTCAGGGCTGAGTCTCAGCTGGCTGGGAGAGAGGGGACCACAATGGGTACCCTGTGGCCATTTGCCCATTTAGCCATGTAGCTACTGCAGGATAGGAGCCACTTGGGCCAGGGGCTTATTCTCATGACACAGGCCATCTGTTCCTGGTCTGGTAGCCCCTTAGAGCTAACATCTCTACTGAGCAGGCTGTGTGTGTGTGGGGGGGGGGGTTGACACAGGGTTTCTCTATGTAGTTCTGACTGTTCTGGAATTCACTCTGAAGATGAGGATGGACTTGAACTCACAGAGACCTGCCTGCCTCTGCTGGAATCAACAGCATGCACCACCACTACCTAGCATTTGTTTAGTCTTTCAGATTATGTAGCTATGCTGACCAGAATTTACAGAAATATAGACCAGTCTGGCCTTGAACTTACAGAAATCCATCACCTCTGCTGAGTGCTGGGACCACTCAGCACTTAAGCTACATTGGACCCCAAGACCTCCCAAGTTCAAAAAGACAGAATGTAAGCTCACCTCTCAATGGAATAAACTCAAAGCCCTGTTAAGAAGCCTTGCTCCATCTACAGCAGACAAAGAACAAGGATCAGGACCGCCTCAGATGGAGAGGCATCCGGTCAAACGCTGTTAAAAGTCCACAGGTATTAAAGCTAGTCAGCTTGACAAGCAGACGCCTCCAAGCCTGCAGAGGAGCCGCTGGTCCCACAGCATGCTGGAGTCCATCTCCAGGGCAGGGCCCAGTGGGGCGGGCTGTGGGGCTCTTGGCCACTCGAGGACTCCCAATTTGGCCGATTTGGAAACTTCACCCAAGGCCCTAGAGTCATTCCCATGCTGGATGCTCAAGACCGAGGCTCCAGTTTAAGTAGGGAGATTCGGAACATCTGGGAACACATTCTGGCTGCCTTCTCAGGGATTCATTTCACGCAAGCGCCTTGGGATTACAAAAATCATACGGAGCCGGGCGGTGGTGGCGCATGCCTTTAATCCCAGCACTCGGGAGGCAGAGGCAGGCGGATCTCTGTGAGTTCGAGGCCAGCCTGGTCTACAAGAGCTAGTTCCGGGACAGGCACCAAAGCTACAGAGAAACCCTGTCTCGAAAAACAAAAACAAAAAAAAAAAATCATATGGCACACACTTTTCATGTAGTAAAAGGCGTGTAAACAGGAACTTTGCAAAGCAAGTCCCTCCACCTGTCTGAGTCTTGGTTTCTTTGCGGAGCGAGAGCCTGGCACCCTCTCTCAAGTTCCTCCAGTGTTGAAGGACACTCACCTCCTCCTTGCTTTGTGACCTGAGAATTGATACTTCTCTAGAAAGGCCGATGCTCAGAAGGACTGTCCCTGCCTCACCTCTTGGGCCAGCAGCCATCCACAGCCCACTACGCTGACTCTCCTACATGCATAACACCCTCCCACATTCTCTGCCACCTGCTGCTAGGATTCCAGGCCCCTTGGCTTCACCAAAGAACTCTGGGCAAGATTTCCAGAACTGTCAGGCTCTTGCACTGTGGGGACTGGGTCAGACCAGGGGTAACACCCTGGGCCTACAGTCTCCCCACCCTGCTGGGGCTCTACTTCTCCATATATCCATGGATAATATATTTGTCTGGTGTCCTTTCTGTCCCCAAAGAGACCACAATCCACTGGCCCTTTCAGAATCGTAGCCAGGTTACCATGGTGATGCCTATTATCTGGGCTTAACGGGAGATGAATCAGTAGCTAAAAATAACCCCAGAGTGGATAGGGAGATTGATAGGTGGGTGGGTCTGATTCAGGATTGGGACAATTTGTTTTTCTCAGACAAGATAATTGAGAGGAAATCTCAATTAGAAATCCACCCCCACTCAGACAGGTGGAAGCTGCCCTCAGCCAGCAGCAGCTCGTGGTCCATGGAGAATCCTGAGTGCCAGCCAAAGTCACTCAGGGCTGCTCTTCCCTCCCAACACATCAGGAGACATTGACGGAGAGACCCACAATCCTTACTGTCAGGGACAGTCCCACCAGATCCCCTGAAGCAAGAAAGGCACAAGGAGGTGAGGATGAGGGGATACTTTATTACGCCCAAAGCCACCTCCCGCAGACCCTGTAGGCTCCTGGGCTCTCAGGTATGTGCACAGGTGGGAGTGGCACCACACAGGACAGAGAAATCTATGGGGACAAGGTGCCCAGGCCTAGGCGTCCTCAAGGGTTGGGGTGCTGCCTCTCCCCACAGGATCAAATGACGAACCTCCATTTCCACCACCCCTTCGCCTGGGGATGCCCTCCATAGCTGGGCCATCAGGGCCCCTCCAATTCTCTCAGCAAACCCTGCTCCATGCCTGTTGGGTGCAGGGAGGCGCAGGCACGGGGCAGCTGCTGATTTCTGTTAACTCCATCAGGATTTCTTCATCTTGGGGAGTAGGCCACCAACCAGACCAGCAGAACACAGGAGTAGAGGGCTGGGGCCTGGGCTAGATGGGAAGTTTCTGAGGGGTTTCTGGGGGCTCAGGAGGTGCTGCGGATGGACATGTTGCTCAGGGCCCCCTCGCCTGGCACCCTCATGGTGCTGAGCTGGGACCGGCCCCTCCAGTTTGGACGCCAAGGCTGCGCGGAGGCAGTTCCTTGTGGCTGTAGTACTCAACCACCTGCTTGGGCACCTCGGCCAACACACACTTGGCCAGTGCCGCAGGGGACGCCTGGGTTCAGAGACAGTATGGTTACCTCTGAGGTTCTTCTATATCCTCACCCCCCCTTTCTGGGTCACAGACCCAGGACTCAAATCTACTTAAGGGACATGTGACTTGGAAGTTAGTTGAGATTCTACTAAAGACACAGACTGAAAAATGCTACCACCAAGCCCCTAGAGTATTCTAGCAACACCTGATTGTGCCCACAAGTGCCTAGGACGTCTGTGCTGGGACCCCCATCCATTCATTTCTCCCAGCACAACAGGAAGTGGCACAAGTGAATTGGGGCCAGGTATCAACCCTCATGGAAACTTGCAATGTGCATGTATGAGAGACCCATGTGATGTTTTTACTGTGGAGTGGGCGTGGGGAACTGTGTGCCAGGTGCATGGAACCCCTACTACTCTCTCTGTGTCATAGATTTTGGGATCAGAAGCTCACTGCTCAGGCACTAATCAGGGTGGAGAAAAAGACTGACTAGAAAGCCATCCCCAGGGGCTGCTCTTTGGCTGCACACAGCCAGGGTGGGGCCGTGTCCTGAACAGAAAGTCACGCATGCATGGAGCAGTGGGTAGCACCCCCAGGACCCAGCCACTTACATTCTTGAGCTCACGGAAGGGCACAAACTGAACGATGTCGCGGAGTGCAGGCTCACCGCGTGGGGAGCGCAGGACTCCGTCATCCCCATCTAGGATCTGCATATCAGTGAAGTCTGCGTTGCCCACCCCAACGATGATGACGGACATGGGCAGGTGGGAGGCGCGGACAATGGCCTCTCGCGTGTCTGACATGTCAGTTACCACACCATCCGTGAGGATCAGCAGTATGTAGTATTGCTGAGGGCAAAGGGGAGAAGTGGGGTGCTGGTCTCTGGGTCTTCTCCGAGCCACACAGCCAGTTCCAGCCCACACTAAGAGGAGCCCCCTTAGTGCCCAGGGTTTTCTAAGACTATTTCTGCTGAAGCACACTACAGGTAAATTCTGATCGGCCCTATGCAGAGTGAAGTTCAGGCTCCAGCCCTCATTGCCGAATGGCCAGTGACTCCAGAAGGGGCACTGCAGGATCCACTTTACAGACAAGGCCACCAAAGCAGGGTGAGCCCAGTCCCACACCAGAGAAGGACTCCTGAATAGAGAGGGAGCCAACACCCTGTCACCAGGATGCCTAGCCCATGCTTCAAGAAGGACAAGAGCGGGAACTTGTTTCAAATAGAAGTCCATCCTTTTTGTCAAGAATACAAAACCCAGCTAGGTGTAATGGTGCATGCCTCTAATCCCAGCACTAGGAAAGCAGGGCAGGCATCTCTGATACATATAGAGACCCTGTCTTAAAAAAGTAAACAACAGCCAGGGCTATCCAGAGAAACCCTGTCTCAAAATACCAACCAACCAACCAACCAACAAACAAACCCCACGATCATTTTCTTAAAAACTTGGACGACAGAACTGGAGAGATGACTTCATGGTTAAGAGCACTGACTTCTCATACAGAGAACCAGGGTTTGCTACTCAGCACCCACGCAAGGGCTCACAACCATCTATAACTCCAGTTCCAGCGGATCCTACATTCTTCTAGCATCTGTGGTCGTAAGAGGGCGATCTCAGTCATATAGGAAGGGGTTCTCATATGCTGATATCTGGGGATCTGAGTTACAATCTGCTCCGAAAGAATTCACCAAGGGGATTGCTGCAAGTCTGAAGCCAGCCTGGTCTCCATAGAAAGTTTCAGGCTAGCCAGGGCTACATAGCAAGATTTGTCTCAAAGAAACAAACAAATGAAAACTAAATCTGACTGTAATTGCAGCTCTTGGGGAGTTGAGGTGGCAGAATTGCAAGTTTAAGGCCAGCCTAGACTGAATAACAAGACTTTGTCTCAGACATATATGTACACGCATGCACACACATACACACACTACATGTATGCGTGAGTAGAACTGAGGTTTTTTTAAAGCACCTTTCAGTAAATGAAAGCGCTTAAGAACCTCCCTGTGACGTTAAGAAATGTTGAAACCAGGGTATTTGCAGAATGTGTGAATGTCCTCAGAAATCTTAGCTCAGGGCTTCTCCGTCTCCCTACTGCCTTGACCCTTTGTTACAGTTCTTCATGGTGACCTCCAGCTAAATACATCTTGTTGCTGTTGCATAAATGTAATTTTGCTTCTGTTAAGAATCATAATATAAGCCAGGCAGCAGCAACACATGCTTTTAATCCCAGCACTTGGGAGGCAGAGGCAGGTGATCTCAATTAGTTTGAAGCCAGCCTGGTCTCTACAAGAGCTAGTTCAGAGAAACCTTGTCTTGAAAAACAAAACAAAACAAAACAAAAAAAGAATCATAATGTAAATATCTTGTTTTCCAACAGTCTCATTCTACCCCAATGGGATTGTGACCCACAGGTTGAGAATCACTACCTTAATTGGCTAGTTAAAATAGTTAAATCACACATTTTCAGTTGTGTGTAATTTATCATGACAAAATACACGAGCAAAGTGAAGCAGAGCACCTGCGACACAAAGCGGCCCTGGGAAAGGGTGCAAGAGAGTCCTTTGTGCTGGTGTGACTTCTCGCCAAGTCTGAAATTAACTCAAGAATGAGAAGAATTAACTCAGGAAAGACAAACGGGGCATTTGTTGAGCAGGAGATGGATCCACAGGAGCCATTTTGTGATTTCTTATTTTTTAAAATTAAAAAAACTAGATTATCACGATATGTGATACACATGGGGCAGCCAGGGGCCGCTCTGGCTTGCCCCTCCCCTCCAGGTGGATTCTGGGGATGAAGCACCTCACCAACCTCACTCCGTAATTTCCTTACATTTGGAAAACATGATGAGACCCCAGCTCTCTTGTTGTTTTGTTTGTGGCTTGGTTTGTTTTTTCTAGACAGGTTTTCTCTGCATAGCCTTGGCTGCCCTGGAACTCACTCTGTAGACCAGGCTGGCCTCAAACTCATCCCTCCCCCTTTGCCTTCCGAGTGCTGAGATTAAAGGTGTGTACCACCACCGGCTGGCTTGAGACCTCAACTTTTAAAAGAAGTTGTTTCCAAGGAAAGCAAAAAGCATAAAAGTTATTGTAAAAGAAGGGGAACCCTGATCAGAAGACATACTGACCAGGGTCCCCACATCCACTCTGGACAGCTCCTGAATAGAACCCTGGATGATACCTGTGGGAGCCCCTCCTTCTTGGACCTGGAGTGGAGAGGGCACCCCTGCCTGGGGTGTGCAACAGTCTCCACCCAAAGATTAGGTTTGGCCTCCACACCCTCCCCCAGCTCAGAATGCAGCCCGGCAGCAGGACTGCTCTTGACTAGAGTGTGGGGCTTCAAGGTGGAGCCTGAAGGGTCATGATGGAGGTCAAGATGAAGGGAACAAGCAAAACTCAGCAAAATCCCAAGTCAGACCACACCTGGGGAAGGTAAGGAGCAGACGAGAATGTGGACCTAGAAGGATCAGATAGCAGGAGGGGCTGCCTTCTTTGCCCTGCCACACACGTGATATACACAGGACCCACCTTGCAGACATGGCAATGTAGATATTTAAGGAGGAAGTAACATCAGGATTCAGTCTCTCAAATGGTTCAGGACACTTAGAACATACACACACAGAAGGGATGGAGGCAGGAGCGGCTGGGAAGGAGGAGAGGATAAAAGGGACCAGGGAAGGGGGAGGGAGAACGTAAGGAAGAGAGGGACAAACTGGTAAACACTAGGAGCCCATGGAGGACCAGAAGTCGTGCGCCAGTCTGCTCGCTTGTAAACAGGACTTTCTTTTTCAAAATGAAAAATTAAAAGAAAGCAGCAAGCCAGCTGAGTCTCAGGGATACACAGAGGGCTACAAAGAGCAGAATGTGATCCTAAGTAAAATGCGACAAACACATACTGAGAACGCCTAAAAGAAAACAGACCCGTGGTCCCGTGCAAAGGGACAGGAGGCAGGGGAAACCGAGGTAAACCAGTGTCGGTGCCAGACAGTTGAGGGCTGACTTTGAAGAGATTAATTCAGTCCTCTGCCCAAAATAAAAGCTGACTGCCTGGGGCTTTGAGAGAGCCGCAGCTGAGGAGCTGAGCTCTTCCCTCATCCCGCGCCATACTGCCTGGCTGGCTTTGCGCTGGACTGTGTCCAGAGAACCGCTTCTCTGGCTCTTAGCCACTACTACACACACAGCTAGCGGGTTCCACAGCTGGATGCACGCAGCCCCTGTCCCCAGTCACCTACAGAGGCCTCCCCTGTGCGCTCTTCAGCGGCTGCCATGCGGGCCACCTTGGAGATGACGGGTGCCACGTTGGTGGGGCCGTAGAGCTGGACCTTAGGCAGGCAGTTCTGGTAGGCCTCGACCACGCCCTGGATTCCTGCGGGGGAGAGAGGAGTGAGCCTGGCCCGATGTACCTCTCAGCCAAAGCCGCCACCAGCTCCTACCTTCACATTCGTCGTCCTCAGGGTTGAAATTGATGGCAAAGTCATGGGACACCTGGGTGGGGACAAGAGTCAGCCAGGACCTTCCCAGAATCCACTTGACTCCCACTTACTGGGAGAAGTTGGTTTGTAGCTCTTTGGGGCCCATGTGAGGAGATCTCCATGGAGAGAGGAAGCCAAGAAGGAGGCAGACAGACAGACTAATCTCGGGCAATTACTTTAGCACCTGGACCCAACAGTAACGACATATTTGAAGGTACCTTAACCAATAAATCCCCTCTCCTACCATCTTTTCATACGTAAGCAGTTGAACTGTCACTGGGTCTTTCTGATAGGAGCATGGGTTATGCCTATAGCTTTGTCAATCATCTCGCTGGTCCACAGGCCAGAGTCTCCTCTCTCTCCATCCCCATCCCAAAAGGGATGGTGGCAACCAGGGTTCTTGTACCCAGAACACCCCTGCCTGGGGAGGTAGAGGCGCTAGAGGCCTAGGCAGATGCTTTGGAGTAGGGGTAGGGCCCCAGCCCAGGGCCCTCTTACCTCATACTTGGGAGGGATCCGAGCTCCAAATCCCAAAGCAGAAAATCGTTTGTCACTGGGAAAGAAGATGAAGCTGGTAACTCCAGGAACCTGGCCCCCACAAGGGAGTCAAAGTTGACACTGGACAGAGACCAGGAGGCCTGGGCCTTGCTGGGCCAGGAACAGGGAACATAGGCATACCACATAGGGGACATTGAGGCACTGAGCTCAAAGACCATCATGACACAGGCAGGAAAGTGCAGAGTTGACAGTAGAAGGCTGGGAACTGACCCCGGGTTCCTCTCTCCAGGCCTGAAGAACCCGCTTAGGAGTCTTCCTGGCCTGAGATGGTGAGGGTCATGGACTCTGCTCTCTCCCACAGAGAGGGAGGGCTCCATGGACAAGGCACTCAGGGTGGGGATCTGGGTCATGGTGAGGATCTCAGAGTCCAGGCCGCCTGGGTTGGCACTTAGCCTCTGCCTAGCCAGTCACCCCAACCTCCGTGAGTGTGTCTTCTGCTCTATAAAACAGTCTCCAATCAATCTCCAGGTTTGTGTCACAGTGAAGAGGTGTATGGCCATGTTAGAGACTAACACATCACCCCCCCCCATCCCCTGAAGGTACCCCCTGCCAGGCTCGGTTCAGATGGCTGTCTGGGAGGTATACTGTCTGCCCCCACTGGTGTACTGAAAAGATGTTCCCACTCTTGCTCGAGCTGACCTCTCTGGCACATCAAGTGTTAACTACAGATGGTATCACTTCGGAAAAGCCCCCAAGCCCAATCTGGCCTGGAAAGGTAGGTGGGGGTCCCACCTGTCATAATCCTGGCAGACCTCGCCCACCGCCACCAGGGCTCTCAGGTACTCGTTGGGCTGGTAAGGGTTGATGTGGTGGAGGGAGCAGCTGTTCCTTGGGTCGCCGTTGGAGGCTGTGAAGTCGATGGCTACCTGCAAGGGCCAGGATGAGGAACATCATTGCGTACCTGCACTTCCTGCTCCCCTGGACAAGCAAAGGGGACCCGAGAGCAGCTTGACATCAAGAACCTAGCGTCTCAGTTTCCCCAGCTCTTTGCAAGCTTGACTGCTCACTGGAGTTACTCACTAGCCCCCAGGAGATGAGGGGGGCTATCCAGACCCTAAAAACCCTAAGTCTCACTCTTGGAATCCCAGGATAGCATCGACCCTCTCCTTTAGGAGAATCTCTGAGCTAAACTCCCCTCAGAAGGACAGGGCCCATGGAAATTCTTCTCAACTGCTATGGTCCTGTCTTGGCCTAGTCCCCTCTGGCCTTCTACCTGGCCATCCTCAAGGCCACCTTGGGTGTGGCTCTGTTCAGCAGCCCAGCTGTGTATAAACACAGCAGAGTCTGTGATGGGCTCCCCTAGACCTTCGGTCCAGTCTGCTATTGTCTGTAGCCTGCTCAAGGCTAAGCCAGCCGGACTCTGCAGTCCTTGTTAGCCAAGTGCTCACTTCTGTTTTCCTCTTCCAGGTTTTTTGTTTATCTCCCTATAATTTTGTAGCAGGTAAGCCCTGGGATGCTGCCGTGAGAGGTGGCCCAGGGCTGGTCCTGAACTCCTGCCTCCTTTTCCTGATCATCATAAAGGGGAAGACATAGGGAAATGAAGACACAAACTGTATTTTCCCTCTCTGTACATGGGCTGGAGTTCAGGGGCTGGGCAGTGGTCCTGCCCCAGTGATTGGGCACAGCATGGAAGACAAGACCCACAGACTCACCGTGCAGTGGATCTGGCAGCCACCCATGATGTAATCCAGGAAGGAGTGGACCCTGTGGAGCTTCCAGGCAATGCCATTGGCAAAACCACCCATGATTCATCACCCTACCCGACTCCCAGAAGAGCAGGCCTGTGTCACTGGGGGAGGGAGCCTACTTGGCATCTCTCCCCTAGGCACTATGGTCTGTGGAAGCATCTTCCTCCTCCCTCAACCTCCCTGGGCGTTTCAGGACCTCAGAGCTGTACCTTTGAGAACCACCTGACAACATGGAGAAGCTAATCCCACCAACCCATCTCCCTAGGGACTGAGGGCAGGGCCGAGGCTCACCTTCAGGTCTGCCAGGACCACCACTCCAGAATTCTTGTAATTGCGCTTCTTCTGTTTGTACTTGGCATTCACACAGTCCCACTGGGCCTGGGACAGGGACAGGGACAGGCAGAAACCCACCCAGAGCAGCAGTATCCAAACCCCTCCCACAGAGGGGAGGGGCCAGGAGCCCCCGGAAGTCCCAGTGCTGCTGCTGGAGACCTGACACTCCACAAGACCATCTCCAAAGTGCACACAAGGCCCCTGACCATGGGGGTCAGGAATGGCCTCTGTGGGGACATACCCATCCCACAGGGGAGCAGGCACATAACGGAACAGAGAGGAGTCATGCAGATGAGATTATGAGTGAGATAGGGGCCCAGGTTAGACCCTGCACGCACTGAGATAGGGGCCCAGAGGTTAGACCCTGCACGCACTGCAGCCTTGGCACTGTGGTCTACCATATTCTGAGCCTGTAGATCTTCCTGAGGGACCCCAGGGTCCAAGAAGGAGCTCCAGGCAACTCTCCCACCACGCCCACCCAGCTACAGAGGGCTAGGCAGGGCCCAGGAAGGGTGCCCCTCCCACCTTGACACACAATGGACATGGTTGCTCACACGGTCACTTGCTTGCAGGCCCCTGTTCTGGTCCCGTGGTGGGTGTCACTGTTCTTTGCCACCATCATGTCTTCTCTGGGGTGGGGTAGAATAACTAGCCTCCCAGAGACCCACTAGAAAGAGTCAGAACCTGTGGCCTGAAACGGGCCAGCAACTCACCTGCTCCTCCTCAAAGGCCTTCTGCATCTCTGCGAAGGTGGTGGTGAAGTCGCCAATGAAGTCGTGCTTTCCTCGGGAGTCATAGTCCCAGACCAGGCACTGGGGAGCCCAGGCCTCTCAGTGGACCTGCGGCCCTTCCAGCCCTGGCCAGGCTGTCATTTATCACTTCCCTCCTCGGTCTCCCCTTTTCCTATAAGTCCTAACTCTCCCAGGCCTCCGTGGCTCTGGAGGAATTGGATACCTACCCACGAGCTGTGGTCCCAACCCAACCCTTTGGCTACGTCCCTACACCCCGCCCGCTCTAACCCTGACCCCACTTCCGGTCCTGTCCGCTACTGCATCCCCACCTTCAGAGGCCGCGTCTCCTCGCAGCTGCAGAGTGAATTCAGGGACACCTTGAAGGGCTCCCACACCGGGTTAAGGTTATTCTTCACTACCTGTGGACCAGAAAAGACTGGCTTGGGTGGAAACCCTGGGTTCCTTTAGCCAGGGTACAGGGTTCTCAGCGTCCTGACCTAAAACAGCTGCGAAGGGGCCCTTGACTGGCAGCATGTACCCTGCCCCATGGAAACTATGGGTATCGCTAGGTTCAATTCAGGCTCCAAACAGGACAGGGTGCAGCCCAGACCTTCCGGCTCTCCACTCCCTCCACCCCTGACCCTAATAGCTTCTGCCTCGCTCCCGCCACTCAGCTGTTTTCTCCTTAAATAGATTCTCTTCACTCAAATTAATTTGTCTCAAAAGGAAACTCTCTCCTCGCTCTAACTAAAATCCTGTTTCCCGGCAGGAGGAAGCAGGTACGCCTAAAAATAGGACCGGGGACAACAAAGCTGCCACGCTAAATTTGGGCGGACAGAGAGCCAATTCCACCCAGCTGTTCCATCCATCGAAAGAGAGTAAGATGTAAAGACGCCACGGTCACGTGGTCACCCTCAGTCCCCCCCCCCTCCGTGAGGACACTGGGCCCTTTTCGGGTAACTTCAATTGACCCCGGAAGCCCCTCTGTCATCGGGCAGTGGGCGCCTCACCTCCGTCCTGTACACCAGCTGCTCGCTCCCGTCGTCATTGACCCGATACAACTCTAGGAAGGGGTCCGACTTGCTGAAGAGATCCTGGAGCAGAGGGTGGGCCGGCAAGGGGCTAGCCGGCTTCGAGGCTTGAGGATGACCCCGTCCCTAATGCCTGCATGCTGGCCTCATCCTTTGCAGTTCATTGTTTCATCCCCACCCCCAGACTCAATTTCCCCAGGCATAAAATAAGTTGTGACTGTTCCCCGAGAGCCCACAGAGATAAGAACTCACTATCTGGAGTCTTCGCTGACTTCTGATGCACCCACCGTGACCCCAGGCGTGTGCGCGCACGGCCACCACCCCGCTCTCCTTCCCTCCTGCTGCCTGGTGCCTAAACACTTGTTCACACCACCCACCCTTGTTGGTCCCGGTTTAAATCTCTCAGAAGGGACCCCAGGAGAAGAACCTATGAAGCAGGCTCAGTCCCAGTTCAAGACAGTGACCTCACTGTCCTCCCTGGGTCTCTCTCCCCATCATTAAACATGCGCTCTGCCAGAGGTAGCTCGGTGCTCACGTGCCATGCTGCCATGCAGAGCGAGGCTTTCTGCCCATCCGGCAGAGCGCATGTGTCTGTGGCTGGGAGGGTGAGGGTGATGACAGCGACGGTTGTAAAACGCAACAGTTAGCAATGAACATGGTGACAGCAGCATGCCAACGGCCCCACGCACAGCCATCAATCGTGTCACTTGTTTCTGAACCGTACAAGAGGCCCGTGCTGAGCAGGAACTAGGTTTTCACCACGAGCCAGTCTGCAGGGGGCTCAGAGCCCAACATGCAGTGGATCCAAGCCTCACCTTGTCATCCAGTTTCCTGGCCTGGAAGGAGAGCTCCACATAGCCATTGTTCCCAGAGATGTCCTCGGCTATCACCTGGGTGTGTCACATGGGATCCGTGGGCTCCAGGTCATCGGTCTCCATCCTCTTCCCTCAGTGGCCACTCGCCCTGAGGGGGCTCTGGTCTCTCCTAGCAGGCCTCGCTCCTCACCTCCCAAGACCCCCCTCCCCTAAGCCTTGTGGGAAGGGAAGATCTCAGCTCTGGCTCTCACCGTGATAGTGGACTTGCCAGCATTTCTGCCGAATCTCAACAGCAATGGGCGCGTCATTTTCTTCTGGGCCACAATCTGGAAACCAAGGAAGTCGGCAGGGATAAAGGAGGAAGAAGATGGTCCTCAATCCCCGTTGAATCTTACTTCTGCACTCACTGGATCCCCACCATCCCCTGGGTTCCAGCAGCCTTCCTGCTGATGCCAGAAAGTTCTACTGGGCATCTTTGTGCCATCTCCTGGGCCATCCTATCACCTGCCTGTGGGGTACACACATCGTGCAGTTAGCAAATGTGCAGGGCACCAGAGCAGATTCATTAGGGCATCTACCCTCAGTCAGGACCTCACTACAGAGCTGGCCTGATTCTATTCTTTGATGTGGGAATGAGAACCCTTATAAGTGGCTGGTTGAATAGCTCTGAGCCCCACCCTGGATCCCGACTATCCCAAACAAGTCAGAGTGGCCCTGGGGTGGCAGAAGGAGCACACTTGACTTGTCTGCACAGGTGCCTGCTTAGAGGGGGCCACTCAGATGTAAGCCCCAATGCTCAGTTCCTAGAGAATTCATCTCCCAGATTGGCCTCCCCTCCTCTCCTGTCACACCCACCGGCTAGATAGCTCGTCCCGGAGCATACACCCCTAACTGAATGGTGCCTTCACATAGCATATCACCTGTCCAGCAGGGAACAGAGCCTGAGAGGCAAGACTGAGGAAACCCTCTTGGGCAGCAGGCTCTGGTCTGAATATAGCCCTTCATGTCTCCCTGGAGAAATCAGTTTCTCTGTGTGTGAAGGCCAGGATGGTTCTGTTTACAGGGTAGCTACCACCTTGACCCCCAGCAAAGCTGCCTGCCTCACATTTGCTAGTGGTTGGTGGAGACCAAGGGGTGATGGTAAAAAGAGCTAGAGTCCGGGCTGGAGAGATGGCTCAGCGGTTAAGAGCACTGACTGTTCTTCCAGAGGTCCTGAGTTCAATTCCCAGCAACCACATGGTGGCTCACAACCACCTGTAATGAGATCTGGTGTCCTCTTCTGGAGTACAATATATCCAGCATCCAGAACACTGTATACATAATAAATAAGTCTTTTAAAAAAAAAAGAGCTAGAGTCTGTGGTACCTGACAAGTAGCCAAGCTGACTTCAGTGCACAAAGATGAGTTCAAGTACAGAATCTGTATGTATCCAGCATATCTATCTATCTATCTATCTATCTATCTATCTATCTATCTATCTATCTATCTATCTATCTATCTATCCCACCTGGACTGTGGTGCATGTGTGCATGTGTTGGAGGTATCTATGACTGCCATCTTGGAACCTGGAGGAATTGTGCCCCCACTTCATCTCAGCCTCTGTTATGTAAAGGGGGATGGCAAGAAGATCTAAAGAGAATGAGCCCTGACCAGGCAGTGGCAGGGATGAGTCACACACATGATGTTGGGATGGAGAATCAGATACCCAGAACATCCCATGGGGCTAACACACAGGAAACAGCCAGGGCACTGGCAGAAAAAGGCAGCCTGCAGAGTGACGGAAATGGCCATCTAGTCAGTAGACAGTCACATGAAACTGTCCATCTCTGTGCCTCATTGCGCTGTCTATAAACAATTCCTTAACGTAAAGGACACCCTGTGGTACACAGCCCAGGGCATACACACAGTAACTGTAGCAGTAAAGTGCCCGTCACATGAACAACAGAGGAGAAAAGGCAAGGACAGTGGCTCCGGGCTGCCAGCGGAGTCCCCCGGGCAGGATAGCCTCATGCACTATTCCCCTTAACCCCAGCTGCAGGGAAAAATATGGAGACCTTGCCTGCCTTGTGGGAACTAGAACCCAGAACCTCAAACGGTTCTTGCAAACACTGCCACTGAGCGGTGCCTCAGCACGAAGAGAAAAAAGCGAGTTGCAGAACAGTGTGTAGGGTGAGTGAGTGGTTTGGGGAGGGAAGGGATGAGGATGGAGGGAGGAAGAGAGGGATGGAAGGAGAGAGGGAAGGGAAACAGGGAGGGAGGGGGAGATGAAGACATTTTTAAGATGGGATCTTCCTATGCTGCCCAGGCTGATGTGGAACTGGTGGTAATCCTCCTTCCTCAGCCTGCTGAGGGCTGGGGTTATAGGTGGGAGCCACTACAGCTGTGGTTTCCTCCCTCCCTTCTTTCTTCCCTTTCTTCCTTCCTTTCTCCCTCCCTCCCTCCCTCCTTCCTTCCAGTGTTGAGATAACATCTCAATAGCTCAGACTGGTGTTATCTGAGACCTGTCTGATGGTGGTCATTAACACCCCAATGTTAGAATCTCCAGCATACACTACCATGTATGGGAGGGAGTAGATGTGTGTGCATGTATGTGTGTGTGAAGGCCAGAGGAGGATATCAGGCATCCTGTCCATCACTCTCTGCCTTATTCTCTGGAGTCAGAGTCTCTCACTGAACCTGGAGCTAGATCGGTGGTCAGCACGCTCTAATGCTGGAGATTTGAACTCAAGTCCTCAGATTTGTGCAACAAGAGCTCTTACCAAGTGAGGTATTTTCCCAGGTGCTCTCTCTCTCTCTCTCTCTCTCTCTCTCTCTCTCTCTCTCTCTCTCTCTCTCCAGTCTCATATAATCTAAGTTGGTTTCAAATTAACCATAGAACTGAAGATGACCTTAAATTTTTTTCTTTGAGATGGGATCTCTTTATGTAGCCCTGGCTGGAACTCATTATGTAGACCAGGCTGCTTTTAAACTCACAGAGATCCACCTGCTTCTGGCTCCTGGGTGCTGGGATTAAAAATTCGTACCACCACTGCCCAGCAACCTTAACTTTCTGACTCTTACCTCTACTTCTTTTTCTGTGGTACTGGAGACATAAAACCCACGATAGCAAACACTCTATCGAATGAGGGACATTCCTACCTAGCTATCTTTAAGGGAAAATTGTATGACTGTTGATTTCTGTGAGAACACTTCTCTGAAATGGGTACAAAGACCCAATGACAGGGCTCGGCAGGGGCTGGAGGGAGACATGCCAGAACAGGCCTGCTGGAAACATAGGAGCATGTAACTGAGATCAAAATTACTAAAACTGGTATGGAGTTGCATGCTTATAATTTCAGTGCTGGAGAAATGGAAACAAGGGGATCATAAATTCATTGTTACCCTAGGCTACACAGGGTGTTCAAGCCCAACCTGAGCTATGTGACATCCTGTTTACACACACACATATACACACACACATACACACACACACATACACACACACCATGTATGCACATTCCTTTATAAACAGACAAAAATTCTAGGAGAGATGGCTTAGCAGTTGAGAATACTCGCTGCTCTTGCAGAGGACCCAGATTTGGCTCCCAGCACCCACATAAAGGCTCACAACTGTCTGCAACTCTGCTTCCAGAGGCTCTGACACCCACTTCTGATCTCCAAGGACACGGGAGGAACATGGTACACAGACATAGCAGCATGCAAGCAGCCATACACACAAAATAAATAAATTGTTAAAAATTGGTAAGGGGCTGGGATTGGTAGCACACACCTTTAATGCCAGCGCTCGGGAGACAGAGCCAGGGGGAGCAGCCAGAACTACATAGTGAGACTGTCTAAAACAAACAACACAACTCGTAAGAGAAAGAGGACATGCTGGAGCGCTCCTGTAACAGCAGGACCCAGGAGCCTGAAGCAGGAGGATCTCAACTTCAAAGTCAGCTTGGGCTGTCTCAAACACACAGTCCTTTTCAAGAGGAGCAGAGGTGGGCAGGGCCAGAAGCTCATCCCTGCAGAATCCCTGAGTAGAGGGCACCGCTGCCCTAGAAGCTACTCCTAACCTCCTCCCTCCCAAGGTACTCGGTACTCACTTGCCCCAAGGTACACTCCATGCCACCTAGGAAGTCATCATCCTGGCAACTCAGCCCACTAGGCCCGTGGGTGTCGTACACCTCAAATCGTAGCTTCTGCACCTCCTCGAAGTAGTAGTCGATAGTGAAGACCTTGGAGAACACAGGATGCAGGCTGCTCTTCACCACCTCGGTTCTGTCCACCTGCAACAAGTCTCTTCCTGTGAGCCAACCCTGCAGGTGGGACCTCCCTGCAGATCTACCTGGGTTCCCACCACCTCCCTGCCACTCATCTGCGCTGTTCCAAGCCTGTTTTCCACCAATGGGGCCCATCTCCCACCTGTGTATAGAGGGCTGCAGGCCCAGAGGGTCACTCCGTTGACCAGTGGCACTTCTATGCCTTGGATAAAGGAACATCCTTTTCCCAGCCAGTCACCGGCTACCGTTTCTCTGTACCCTCTCTTCTCGTGCCCATCCCCACATTACAGATGGAAAAAACTGAGGCTCAGAGACCAGCAGAGTTCTGCCCAAGGACCAAGATGTCAGGGACAGAATCAGATTCCAGCCCTGGGCAGGGCAAGCCCAATGCGGAGACCTTTCCCCAGCACTCAGCTGAGTGGCAAAGAGATGTCCCTGCTGGAGGGACTTGGGTTCACCAGCCTCTCCCACTGAGTTCCGCACCCTCCCAGAAATGCATGCACCAGGCAGCAAGCAGACCAAGCAACAAAATGCTACAGGAGGACCTGGGTCACAAGATGGCCCTTAAACAGAAGCCCCCCAATATCGTCTAGGAATTTAAACACATGGTTTGGGGCAGGCCCTTAATCTTCAAGGTCAATGACCCACAAGATGTCTCAGCCCCAGAGCCTAAAAAATACTCTGAGACACCAGAGTAAACATGCAGAGTGGGCGTTAAGTGAGGTACCACCCCAGAATGTCTCCCCCTGCACTGCTCGGGTCTTCTGCACACCCTAGGCTCCCTGGCTATCCCCACAATAGTCACGGGGTCTGTCTAACATCTTCCCTGGCTCTTCTCCCCTGCTTCCTGCACATGACTGCCACAGCCAAGGGGTGCCCCGGAGCTGATGTTGGGGGGCACTCAAACAGGCTCAGGTCTTTTGTGCCTGTTAGTTTCTCACTCCTGAGGTAAAGCCAGTACCCCACGGGAGATGGTGAGAAAGGGTTCTGCAGCACAGATCATGGGCAAAACCCCTGACCCTGGCCCAGAACTAAGAGCCGAGGGCTGAAGAAAGCTAGAGACTTCGGGGAAGCACCCTTCCCTGAAGATGCTGGCTACCCTGGGTTTATAGGTGTCCAGTGGAAAAACCCCAAGCTGATGGCAGGCACTCACATCTGAGTCGGCAGGGGGCATTAAGGAGTGGGGAGGGGCTTGCTGCCCACAAGGGTAGCCGCTTGCATATAATTTGTAATTTCTCCTAACCAGTGAGGAGACAGGTAACAGGGCTGGGCGACTTGAATCTGAAAGATGGAGTCGCTGTCCAGCCCTGCCCAGCTCCATTCTACTCACCCAGAGAGGTCTAGCGAGCAGCCTTAACACTACTGGCCACCCTACTTAAGGTACCTCTGTTTCATGGGTGAGAAGCGCATTGCAGCCAATAGAGGGGAGACCCTGTGACCTTAAATAGCCCCTATACCTGCCTCAGGCATTGTCCGCCCCCCCCCCCGCCCCCGTTTCTGAGCCGCACTCCCTCCTGAGTTCATTAGTCTAGCCTGGGCACTTCGTTCTAGCTCTAGAGTCCCAGCCTGAGCCCCTCTGCTGCACTTCTGAGCACTTTCCACCAAGATCCCTTTCAGCTGCTGCTCCCTTGTTGCCCCGCCCTTCTCACAGCAGGTGGACACCTCCTCTTTTGCCCTGGTAGCCCCAGTTTGGGAACACCCTTGCCAGCGCCCCAAATCCCAATTCACACTTAGATCTTCAGATGCCCAGCTCCAGGACGCTAGCCGCCCTACCTGTAGCCACTGGCCCTGTGCCTGCTGCAGCAGCACCACGCTGGGGTCGGACTTGGTCAGCGGGTCCCGGTCCAGCAGGTGCCGGCAGCTCAGCCGCAGCTCCACCTTCGAGGCGCAGGGTGCAGGCACCACCCCCGGGGCCACCGCGCGCTCCGAGTCCCCGCTCATGCTTCAGGCTCTGCACTCGAACCGGTGGGCGCCGGAGAAATGGTGGCCGGGCCAGGCGTGGCCGCGCTCCCCCGCACACCCGCCGGGCACGGGCACACGTGTCTCGGGCGGCCGCCACTGCGTTGGGGCTGTAGGGCGGCGATGCAGCGGGGAAGGGATGGAGGGGACCGCGAAGGGGCGGGGCCAGGGTGGGGCCATAAGAGAAAAGCACAGGGACTAAGCAGAGAGCAGACAACCCGGAGAGCCGCCCCCTTGGAGCTGGGTTTCGATCTCTGAGCTGAGAGACAGGGGTCTGGGTTACACGCTAGCTCTGGAATTGTGGTATCTCTATAGGGTTCATTCGGGGCTGGAGGCTCCGCACTGCTGAAACCTAGGCACCGGATTTGGGTCCAGACAGTCTCGGAGAGAGGCACAACCCACCCCAGGGTCGCACCAAAGCTCTGCACTCCGAGGATTGTTACCTGAATCAGTGAGCAACTTAGTGGGAGCTCACTGTTTGCCAGGTGCAAGCTGGCAGCAGGAAGGGTGTCCCTATCTCTCAGAATTTGTAGGCCCAGGGTAGAAAATCTATGACTGAGGGTCAGAGAGGGACCCTCAGTTCTCTCCCAGCCACTTTTACCTGGCGCGTCCACAGTCGCCCCCAGGTGGAAAGGAAGATTCATTCCCTCTCCCTCTGGTACCCTCCCTCTCCTCCCGAGAGAAAGGCACTTGGAAGAGGAGGTGTTGGCTTCGACAGAAATCACCTCCCAGCCCATTCATTCTCTTTGCCAATTTCTACCTAAATATAGGGCAGAGACCTGACCAACAGTCACGGGAGTAGGAGGGTAAAGGAGACCAGGAGACGGCGGTGAAGATGGCAGGAGATTTCGAGTCCAGGGCAGGGTATGGGTGCCTGTAGGAGCGGAGTGGGGCCATGTTAAGCATCAACAAACAGGACTCCAGAAGATTCTGGGGTCAAAGAGTGTCAATACCAAGACAGGGATGTACAGGGTGGTGGGAGGATGGTGTGGGAGGAAGCAACAGTAGCCTTGGGCGAGGTGGGAAACTGACAAGACGTGGTGGGGGGCAATGTCTCCTCCACCAGCTTGGCACCTGGGGCATCCCCATCCCAGTAGTCAAGGGTCTCCTTCTGGGCTGAGCATATGGGACTCTGGAACCTAATCTCCACTTCCTGCTGCTGCTAAAAGATGCCTGGGAACTCATCTGCTCCCTTCCAGCCTCCCCAGCTGCTCTGTGTCACCCTGTTCCACCTGGCCCCAGGCAGGACTCTCCCCTGTTGAGTCCAGCCTGGGTGGCGCTGGGCCTCTTAGCCCTTTGTCTTTCAGGATTGGGAGATTCCACCCTTAGCCCACCGATTGTTTATGGGATTGTGATGGTGACTTTCTCTTCACAGGGACCTATAGTCCTCCCGGAGCCTGGTTCCCTGGGCACCCACCATGCTGGGTCAGACCCTCGACCTCTTGGCCTCTCAGCATGGAACGTGAGCAAAAAGAATGAGAAACCCGTCGGGCTGTGGTGGCACACGCATTTAATCCTAGCACTTGGAAGACAGAGGCAGGCGGATCTCTGAGTTCGAGGCACCTGGTCTACAAGAGTTAGCTCCAGGACAGGCTCCAAAGCTACAGAGAAACAAACAAAAAACAAAAAAACAAACAAACAAAACAAAAAAACAAAACAAGGGCTGGAGAGATAGCTCAGAGGTTAAGAGCTCTTCCAAAGGTCCTGAGTTCAGTTCCCAGCAACCACATGATGGCTCACAACCATCTGTAATGGAGTCTGGTGCCCTCTGCTGGTCTGCAGGAATACACAACAGAATGTTGTATACATAATAAATAAATATTAAAGAAAAAAGAATGAGAAACTTAAGCAAAGAACCACACTCTGAGTAGATACCCAACCCTCTCAAAGGACCAGCAATGCCAGCAGAGCCTCCGCTGTCTTCAGCAGGATCTGAGGGTTGCTGGCCCTTGGGAAGTTCCCAGGTCCCCAGCCAGACTTCTTGCCTTGACATCACGACTTGAGTTCAATTCCAAGCACCCATGTCAGGTGGCTCATCCACCTGTTACTCCATCCACGGGTGTCTGATGCCTCTGGCCTTCTCAGGCACCATCACTCACATGCATATACCCACACAGAGACACAGATTTTTTTTTACATACATATAATTAAAAATACAATAAACTATCGAGGCAGTGGTGGTGCACACCTTTAATCCCAGACTCAGGAGGCAGAGGCAGATTGATCTTTGTGAGTTCAAGGCTAGCCTGGTCTATAAGAGCTAGTTCCAGGATGGGCTCCAAAGCTATAGAAAAATCTTGTCTCGAAAAACAAAATAAATAAATAAATAGACCTGAAAAAAAACAGCAGTGTGTTCAGGAGCTGGTCCAAAGTCACCTGCCTATCTGAGGGGTTCAGTGCTTCACCCTGAGTCTGGTTGAACATTTCCCTTACAAAAGCACAGCTCTGGGACAAGTGCAGAGGGCCAGTCAGAGAGAGAGCTCAGAAGACTCAAGCAGCTTGGGAGCTGAAATCCCAGACCAAAGGTTTTAATCAACCTCTTGGAAGCTAGCTTGGTGTTTGCTGGCTCCTGGTGGCCCTGACTGCTCTAATAGAGAAACAGACAGAAACTGGGTGACAGGCTGGTGTTCTCGCAGCCCTAGTCTACTTGAAGCTTGGGCAAGTGCCCCTGCCTCAGCGCCAGGTCAACAGCCCAAAGGCCCGGGAGGATGAGGCATGCCCTGCTTCCCAGCACTAGGTAGCAATGAATTCCTTCTGTTCCTAGCTTCTGCTGCCTCGGGTGATTCTGCTAGCCAGACACAGGAAATGAGATCTCCCTTCAAATATATTTTGTTATTACCATACAGGAAATAACACATGTCAGTGCTGAAATGTTAAAACACTGATAACCGAGCAAAAAAAAAACATTTTAAATTGAGCACCCAGACATAAACACCATTATCGTTTTATATTTATCCCTCTAGGTTTTTAAATGCAAAAATGCTTCATTAGTTGATAGGGTTTTGTTTGGTTGGTTGATTTTTTTGTAAAGGAAATTTTGTTCTCTTTTTATTTTGTTTTGTATTATGACTCTTTGCAGCCTTGGACTCCCAAGTGCTGGAATTAAATGTGTGCACCACCATGCCTAAGGGTTTTCTTTTTAAAAATATTTTATAATTTTATGTGTGAGTGTTTGCCGGCTTGTGTATGTACACCATTTATGTCTAGTGTCCTCGGAGGCCGGAAGAGTATATTGATCCCCTAGAACTGGAGTCACAAACAGTTGTGAGCCACCATGTGGGTGCTGGGGACTGAACCCAGGTTGTCTACAAGAGAAGCAAGTGTTATTGGGGCTGAAGAGACGGCTCAGGAGAACCTTATCTAGAGGACACACGGCCATTGGTACCTCTACTCCCAGGGTATCCCATGCTCTCTCTGGCCTTCTCGAGCTCTCCTATGTAGCACACAGACACACATGCACACAAAACACTGATACACATAAAATAAATTTTAAAAATTAAATAAAATAAATACTATTCCTTTTAACTCAGATATAATTGCAAACTATAGGAAACAATATAGCAAAACATGTTTTATGTGTTTATTTTATGCACTTGAGTATTTAGCCTGTACGTGCGTGCAAAGTGTGCCTGCTGCCCTCGGAGGCCAAGAGAGGGTGCCATATATCATGGACCAAGTTGTAGGCAGTTAGTACAAACCACGGCCATGTTGGTGCTGAGAACCAAACCCAGGTCCTCTGCAGGAACAACAATGCTCTCAACTACTGACCCTTCTCTCCAAACCTCTTATGTGATTTTTTTCCCCAGTATTTTAGGTAAGTATCAGTAGTACTATTTATTTTATTGATTTTTTTTTGAGACTTTCATCCATGAACTGGGTGGTGGTGGTGCACACTTTTTTAATCCCAGCACTTTGGAGGCAGAGGCAGGCAGATCTCCAAGTTTGAGGCCAGAGTGAGTTCTAGGACAGCCAGAGCTACACAGAGAAAGCTGTCTTGAAAACAAACAAACAAACAAACAAACAAAGAATGCCAGGCGGTGGTGGTGCATGCTTTTAATCCCATCACTCGGGAGGCAGAGGCAGATGGATCTCTGTGAGTTCGAGCTCAGCCTGGTCTACAAGAGCTAGTTCCAGGACAGCTAGGTCTGTTACACAGAGTAAAACCTGTCTTGGAAAACCAAACCAAACAACCAAACAAAAACCAACAAAAAAACAAAAACAAAGAAAAGGAAAAAAAAAAAAAAACAGAGAAAAAGAGAGAATTTCATACATGAATACTGTATTTACATCCCTCCCGGCTTCTCACCCTCCAACTTCTCCTGTGTCCTCCCACTCCCTCTCAAATCCATAACCTCTTCTTTAACTTTTTGTTTTTCGAGTCAGGGTTTCACTGTATAGCCCTGGCTGTTCCGGAACTCACTCTGTAGACCAGACTGGCCTCAAACTCACAAAGATCCACCTACCTCCCGACTGTTGGGATTAAAGGAGTGTGCCATCAGCCAGGTTTTCTTTAATTATTATTGTTACACACACACACACACACACACACACAGCCTGAAGAGTCCATTTTGTGCTGCTTGTATGTACACGTGTTTAGGGCTGACTGCTTGGGATGGGATAACCTATCTAGGGTCTTGTCCCTAGAGAAAACTGGCGCAATCCTCTGGCCTGTCAACTGGTGTTGTCACTGAGCACATCTTGTCTAGGTGACAATGTTGTAGACGACACTATCTCACAGCAGATGTCCTGTTCTCTGACTGGTACAGTCTCTCTGCCCGCTACGCCATGATGTTTCCTTAGCCTATAATGCTCCCCACAAGATGCCAAGACTAACAAAAGCCCCAGTGCCAGGTGTGGGAAGCCCCCCCCCCCCCCCCCCCGTGTGTTGTTACTCAGAGGAGTCGAAGACTCCCTAGATAATACAGGCGACCGCAGTTGCTCTAGGCTGCCTCCCAGAACTTGAAGGTAAGATCCTACTGCTGAAGTCACTGGGTTTGGAGGGACTGAACTGGACCTGACCTGGAAGTCTCTTCCCTGAGGACTAGCTCTCGTAGTGTCCAAAGGTGCCATGCGAGTGCCAATGGAGAAAAGCCATCACTAGCTTCCCCGAGCTATAAAGTCTACTAACTGCAGCAATGACCAGCACCGGAAAATGTCCCCAGGGGTACAGCAGTGAC